TCCACTGTTGCTGTAACCATGTTAATGTCCCTCTGTGGGACCAATAAAGGACTTCTGATTCTGCGGACAGACAGAAGAGAGGGGGGAGGGGCGGGTAGGAATGCGGCCTTCTTCTTTTCCCGGATTTGAAGAGTCCTCTTCCTCGCAGCCCACCGTATCCCAGGATGCAATGCGCGCCGGTGACGAGGAAACAAATAAAATGTCGGTGCGGTCTCAGAGAGAAAGCAGCACGTGAGGAGTAACTGATAAATGTGAGTATTGGGTTTAACTTACTTTAATAACTGATACATGTGAGTTTTCGGTTTAACTTACTTTAATAACTGATAAATGTGAGTATTGGGTTTAACTTTCAATCAGGAGAGACAGTTTTGATGTAACAATATATATGTATTGCCGGGTATACACGGATGAATGTATTGGTGTTTGGCGATTAGACCCCGTTGTGCTGGCATATCAAATATTTTCAAAGCCCTAAATGGGCTGGCTCCTGCCTATATAGCCGAACTCCTCCAGCGCTACACCCCAGCCAGAGCTTTATGGTCCGCTGACCAGCTGTTGCTGATAGTGCCCACGACCACATCAAACAAGAGGTGGACGAGGGTAAATACTGCGGCATGGTGATGCTGGACCTACAAAAGGCTTTCGACACTGTCAATCACCCCATTCTGATTGACAAGCTAAAAGCAATTGGTTTTGATAAACTATCGGTGAGCTGGATGCAATCCTACCTGGAGGGGAGAGAACAGATGGTGGAGGTAAACGGTACTCTGTCCCCCCCCCTCCCAGTGAGCTGTGGTGTTCCACAAGGAAGCATATTAGGTCCGTTACTGTTCCTAATTTATGCAAATGACATGTCATCAGCATGTGACTGCAACTTGTTCCTGTTCGCGGACGACTCAGCCCTGCTGGTCTCTGACAGGAGCAGATTGCAGGTTGAAAAAACCCTCAGCTCCGAGCTCGGCAGAATCTGCACCTGGCTCGCCGATAATAAATTATCATTACACCTGGGTAAAACAGAGTCCATTCTCTTCGGTTCGAAACATAATCTCAGCAAATCCGACGACTTCTCAGTTGCAGTGGGTGACATTATTGTCACAAGTAAGAAGGAAATTACATACCTAGGATCTATTCTTGAGGCAAACCTCTCCTGTGACAAAATGGCATCCAATGTAATAAAAAAAGTCAATCAAAGAACTAGATTCCTATACCAGATCTCCTCTCTCGTAAACAAAAACACCCTGAAAACTCTGGCAGGAGCACTCATTCAAGGGTACTATGACTATGCTTGCACGTCATGGTACCATAGCACCTCCAAGGCGCTAAAAATAAAACTTCAAACATCGCAAAATAAACTGGTCAGACTACTGCTTGACCTTTCATCTAGAACCCACCTCACCTCTGCCCACTTTGACAACCTAGGATGGCTTAGAGTAGACGACAGAGTACAGCTACTTGCAATGGGCCTGGTCTACAAGATCCACTACACCTCTATGGTACCCATGTACATGTCAAAATTCTTCCCAAAGGTCAAGGAATACCATGATCATAACACCAGAGGGAGCTCCACAAATCATGTAAAACCCAGATTTGGCACAAAAAAAGGGGAATACACGTTTCGCAATTATGCCACATCAAGGTGGAACGCTCTTCCCACAACTGTAAAGGAAAGTAAAACTATACTTACCTTCAAAACCTCTCTTAAAGAGCACCTTCGGGGGAAAGCATTGCAAAACTGGCCCCGGTAATGGTACAAATCTCAACCTGTCGTACAATGGACAGCTTCCCCCCCCCATCTATGTATATACTCGCATTTTAGACTCTGTTACTAACTGTATATCTGTAGACTTGGTATGTCTTAAATGTCCGGTTAGGATGTATTAGAACGAAATCTAAAATGAAAATTGTAAATAAGCCATCTGTATGTAAAAAACCACCTGTATGTAAATTGTAAATAAGCCATCTGTATGTCTAATATGTCTTATATGTCTTAAATGATATGATGAATTGGAAATGGGGGACCCTGATGTAAACAAGACGAAAGTCTTTCTCTGGTCTGCATCCCCTTAACAATTGTATGTTTTGAGCTGTACTGTACTGTACCCAATATACAAGCTGTTAATAAACTTTTCAATCAATCAATCAATCAATCAATCAATTCAATCAATTCAATCAATCAATCAAACCAGGCTCAAAACCCGAGGTCACCGAGCCTTCGCAGCAGCTGGCGTGGAGGAACACTCTGCCCCTCCATGCGAGGTCGCAGAGACACTAGGGGTTTTAAATCCTCACTAAAGACACACTTCTTCTCTCTGGCCTTCTAGTCAGAGTGGAGTATGACACCTGACTATTCCCTGTGTTTTAGTTTTTTATATTTCTGTTGTAAATTATTGTCTTTTATTGTGATTTTTGTAATGTGTTTTTATTACATGTACAGCACTTTGGCTCGACCAAAAATCGCTTTTAAATGTGCTATATAAATAAAACTTGATTTTATTTGATATCATTCGGGGGAGGGGGAACCGAACCGATGGAGCCCCCCCTGGAGTCTGCCCCCCTCTGCCTTGGCCTGAGCATTTGAGGGAGGGTCTCACGCAAAGCACCTGCATGAACTGTAGCTTCATGCCTCGGCGCTCAGAGTGGCTAGAGACGCAGAGGAGGAGCGTCTGGCAGCAGCCACACCTCTCCTCGTCACAACTTCCTCCATATCAGTCTGGCCGTTCCCGGCGACTTGATGGAGTGATGGCTATGGGTTCACCCCCCAGGTAGAGGGCTAGAAACAGGCTGTCCTCTAAGGTGGATCGGTTAGCTGCCATCATGGAGCAGATGAAGTCGCTCCTCTTGGCCCTTCAGCCAGGGGCCGGTGCAGGGGGCTAGCTTGCAAACCTCTGCTTGAGGATGTCGCTAGCGGCTTCGGCTAAACCTCTTCTATGAAGGGGTGGAGGACGGGGCCCCGCTCACCCCCAAGGAGGCTTCCCACTCCTCTTCTCAGAGCTCTCTGCAGAGCATGGAGAACGCCTCCATGGCGGCCACTATTCGTGCGGCCCTGGCACGCTTGCAGCTTCAGGTTCCGCAGGCCGACTCGGCTCAGGCTAGTGCCTTCTTCAGGCATAACCCTGCCCCTGTCACTCTCACTGTTCCTCCTTCAGAGGAGTATCTGAGGGAGCTCCATGCAGGCTGGAGGGACACCAGGGCCCTCTCCCACTCTGCTGCCATGCAGGATCCGGCGAGGGTGGGGCTGGGTCGCTTGCTATCCATTGAGCCTGCCATCGCCTCCCCGATTCAGGCTCCTGAGGCCAGGTGGCCTCGGCCTCAGTGCAGAGTCACAGACGAGCTGCTCTGTAAGGCCTACGACACAGCGGCACGCACGGGTCGTAACGGGAACTCCCTCTCCCATCTGATGCTGGCTGTCTCTACCTCTCTGCAGCAGGCTCCGGCTGAGCCTTCTTTGCTGGGCCTCAGTGATGCATCACTGTAAGCCTTTGCCCTAATGTCTAGGGAATTGGGACGAATTATGTCCTTATTGGTGCAGACTCGTTGCCAGGTTTGGCCTGCTCAGTCACCACTGTCGGAGACATGTCCTCCGTAGTTTGCCAGTCGAGCCAGGGGAGCTGTTTGGGGCAGCTGCCCTGGAGGCACTGGAGCGTGCTGCCCAAGCTTGGCCAAGGGCGCAATCGAGCAAGTAGACCCTCTGCTCAGCCCAGGGGGTTTTACTCGGTGGACCCACAGAAAGTTGCTATCAGAAACAATGCCTGACGTGTTTTGGACGTAATATGGTCTGTGTTTACATTAGCAAGCATTGCTAACACTCACAGCTAACCTGTACTGGAGAGCACATGTTTAAAAAGCAGGAAATAAAAAAAGGAACTCACCTTGTGATAAACCCGCAAGAGAAAAAGCATTTGAGCTCCATACTGTTTCAAAAATAATCCTTGATGTGGTTTAGAACAGGATGGCGTTTTATCACAGCAGAATTGAACTTTATCTCCGGTATAATTCTGATCAGGCATTAGCTCCGCCTCCTCCTTTTTTCTTTTTTTTCAAGCTAAAATCCTTGTTTCTCTAACAGCTGGAATAGAGGGATATGAGATGTATATATCTGAGACCCATAATATATGCCTAAAAATGATATGATAGGTGCACTTTAAAAGCTGCTAAAAAACAGATGTATAATGTATTCCATTTATACAGTTTTTCTTTTGTTAAAATAAATGACACATTTCAATAATCCGTTTATTCTTGTCATTTTAATATGATTTCCTGTAATTATGAAATACAACTTTACAGTGTAACTAATGTATGAGGCATGGCTACGTGGTGGTCTGTTTGGTATTTCGAGCAAAAACAGACATCTTTTGTAGATATAGACATTTTTAAAACCAAAACAGTACGGAATTTTAAATAATCCTTTAGGGATGGTCATTATTTTGCAATCATCTTTTGTTAATAAGATTAATTAATGTTGTTGTTTTTCTCTTGTTTTCTCTGTGATTAGGACAATTCTGGAGAACTGGATCTGCTGAGGAAGGAGCTGCCATCCACACAGGACCCCCCGTGGTGCTGGAGAAATCTAAACAGCATCAGGGACATCATCCTCCCAAACCTCTGCTTCCTGCCGTCCAGCTGAACAGCAGCTCAGGAAGCTTCAGAGAGAAACGGTGTGTTTAACAGAGAGTGAAGCACACGGAGAAACGGTGTGTTTAACAGAGACTGAAGCACACGGAGAAACGGTGTGTTTAACAGAGACTGAAGCACACGGAGAAACGGTGTGTTTAACAGAGACTGAAGCACACGGAGAAACGGTGTGTTTAACAGAGACTGAAGCACACGGAGAAACGGTGTGTTTAACAGAGACTGAAGCACACACGGAGAAACGGTGTGTTTAACAGAGACTGAAGCACACGGAGAAACGGTGTGTTTAACAGAGACTGAAGCACGCGGAGAAACGGTGTGTTTAACAGAGACTGAAGCACACGGAGAGACGGTGTGTTTAACAGAGACTGAAGCACACGGAGAAACGGTGTGTTAAACAGGAAGTGGTGATTTAGTAAACATGAGTGTTGTGCTGCTCTCGTTGGTGAAGCAGCGACTCACTGCGGCTGCTGAAGACATCTTTGTTCTGTTTGAAAGAACGATAGCAGAGTACGAGGAGGAACTGTCTCGTTCAAAACAGGAGAACGAGAGACACCGGAAACTACTGGACGCTGTTTTACAGCCTCAGCTTCAGATCCACAGAGCAGGTCTGTTCCCTCTTTATTCACTCTCTCTTTATAAAAAGGAACTCACATTGTGGTATAACCGGCGAGAGAGAAGGCCTTTGAGCTCCATACAGAAATAATCCTTGTTCTAATAATCGTTGCGCTTCATCACCGCAGCATTTTAGACAGTATCTGCCAGGTCCCGGATGAGCCGGCATGAGCTCCGCCCCCTCTTATTTGTTATTTTTTGTATTTTTGTATTTAGCCTTTATTTATACAGGTGCAAATCTCATTGCATTTAGCTGACGCTTTTATCCAAAGCGACTTACAATAAGTGCAAACTTCATGAAGTGGTTGGAGCTCTCATGCAGGGGGGGCTGAGCACACATCCTTGGGGGGCCCCGTACTCAGTGTGATGGTGCCTGATGTGTTGTTGCCGACCCGTACAGATTGGGGTCTGGCAGTGAGGAAGTCCAGCAGCCAGTTGCAGAGAAAGGGGCTGAGGCCCAGGGTTGTTAGCTTGCAAACCAGCTACTGGGGGATGATGGTGTTGAACGCTGAGCTAAAGTCTATGAACAGCATCCTAACATGAGTTTTTAGTGTCCAGGTGGGTGAGGGCTGGGTTGAGAGCAGAGGAGATGGCATACTCAGTGGACCGCTTCGCTCGTTATGCAAACTGAAACGGGTCCAGTGAGGGGGGGAGGTCAGATTTGATTTGCTTCATGACTAGCCGCTCAAACCAACACATTCTCACTCCCAACTCGGCCTGTCAGGGTCCCTGTCGTCACTTTCCAACGCAAGGGGGGGCCAAAAGTCCGACATTATACAATCAAACAAATAAATAAACACAAGCATAATTGTGTGTTATTGTTGAGTAAATAACAGTGTGTGGTTTAGAAAAGAATACAAAATTAGTAGGAACAAATTATGAAACAATACAGATTTCAGTTTTCTGAGCCCCTACTCTCCCCATAACTGACAGCAACAAAAGTCCGACATTATTCAATTAAAATAAAGAAGTAAACACAATAAGTGTGGCTTGATATTGAGTTAGAAAAAGGTTGATAAACGCTGTGAGAATGGATCTGCGGAGAGCATTTCTCCGCGATCCCAACTCGTCTATTACCAACGTTCAGGGAGCTCTATGCAAGTCAATGGGACTCCCTGATAGTTGAAACTCGACGCTAAAGGGCCCCCCCTTGCGTTGGAAAGTGACGACAGGGACCCTGACATAACGTCAACATAGGCCGAGTTGGGAGTGAGAATGTGTTGCTCAAAGCACTTCATGATGGTAGAAGTCAGCGCTACGGGGCGGTAGTCATTGAAGCAGGAAGGTGATGACTTCTTCGGCACAGGTATGATGGTGGTTACCTTGAAGCACGAGGGAACAACAGCCTGGCTCAGGGAGATGTTGAAGATGTCTGTGAGGACATCTGTGAGCTCAGCGGCGCAGTCCTTTAGCACACGACCAGGAATGTTGTCGGGCCCAGAAGCTTTCAGGGTGTTATTCCTTAGCAGTGTGCTCCTCACACTGCCTGGGGACAGACAGATAGCCTGGTCGTTGGGTGGAGGAGTTGTTTTCTGCGCAGGTATGCTGTTCAGTGCTTCAAAGCGTGCAAAGAAGTCGTTGAGGTTGTTCAGCATTGAGGTGACACTGTCGCAGGTCCGTGGTGGAGGTTTGTAGTCCGTGATGGTCCTAATACCCTGCCACAGGCTCTGTGTGTCTCTGCTGTCACCAAAGTGAGCTGTAATCTTCCGGGTGAACTGTCGTCTGGCTTTCCGGATGCCACGGGATAGGTCGGCCCTTGCTGCTCTGAGACCAGCTGGATTGCCCTCTCTGAAGGCAGCGGGCCCTCAGCAGCCTGTGGACCTCTCCTGTCATCCATGGCTTCTGGTTGGCCCTGATAGTGATGGATCTGGTGTGAGTCACCTCCTCAATGCATTTAGTGATGTAGCCTGTAACAGTTTCTGTAAATTCCTGGATGTTGGTGGTGTTGTATGTGGCTGCGTGCTGAAACATGTCCCAGTCTGTAGTTTCAAAGCAGTCTTGTAGTGCAGCTGTGCTGTCCTCTGACCACACGCGTATCTCCTTGGAAACCGGTTTGGTGACTTTCACTCTGGGTCTGTTTGCAGGTTTTAGCATGACAGTGAGGTGATCAGAGTGTCCGATGTGGGGGAGGGGGGAAGCCTTGTAAGCTCCCTTGATGGTGGTATGAACAAGATCCAGAGTATTATTTCCTCTTTTTTCAGGTTTGTATGATTTTAAAGTCCCCAGCGACAATGAGAAGGCTGTGTTGTCTGCTGGTTAGAGATCACTCGATACAGCTCACTGAGTGCCTCCTCTCTCTCCTTGTTGTTAGAGGTGGGGGGGATGTATGCTGCGACCGGCAAGATGGAGTTAATCTCCCTAGGAAGGTGGAAAGGCCTGCACTTCACGAACATAAACTCCGCCAGCGGTGAACAGTGTTTGTAGAGAATCACAGCGTCCCTACACCAAGCATCACTGATGTAAACAATCACACCGCCGCCGCTCTTCCCCCCGCTAGCCGTAGCTCTGTCTGAGCGGTAGCATGTTAGCCATTCGAGCTGAATGGCAGAGACTGGGATGTTGTCATTTAGCCATGACTCCGTAAAAACGTACACACAGCACTCTCTCACCTCACTCTGGGTCGACCGGAGTATGTTGTCCATTTTATTGTCCAGTGAGGGAACATTAGCCATGAGAATGCTCAGAATAGCGGGCCTGTGTGGACTAGCTGCTAGCCTAGCTCGGATGCCTCCGCGCCTACCCCTCTTCTGCTTCCTCTCGCACCGTTTGCGGCGTCTCCTATTCAGCATGTAGGTAGCAGGCGAGGGCGAGGTTGAACTTATTCCAAAGCCCTTGAGTACCTCTGCCAGCGTAGAGTCTATTGTTTGTTTTGATGATATTTCCTTGTCCAGCAGGAACTCACGACTGTACTGTATACTCCTGACTATACTATCGGTTCGGGTGGTTTGAAGTGAACTAGACAAACCAGATGAACAAACGTTAAAAACACTCAGCGGAAGATGTAAGGCGGGGCCTCTCATATGACGCACACTTGCTAGCGTGTTCCACTCTTCGTTTTCCGAATGCCAGGAAGTATTCTTGACTCGCTTCTGAAGCAAGATGCTCGGCAGACATGTGTTACCAAGCAAGCGTACTCGCGATTGAGAAACACCCACAGTGTTTACTGCACGACTGTGGAAGTTCCACCGTGTTGTAGAAGCTCTGGGGAGTCTTTGCGCCACCACTTGGTCAAGCACTGCAGTTCGCTTGGGTGACCTGGAGAAGAAGGAAGAAAATCCACCAATGTCTGGAAAGAAGTGCAGATTCTGGGGATGTGTGATGTTGCCAGCTGCATTATGAGGTTCAGCTGATGCGCATAGCAGTGCACGTAGTGTGCATTCCCGTAGACATCCATTACCGTGCTCTGGTGTTCTCATGCTTCCTCACTTTCTCAGACAGGTGCTTCACATCCCTCACTCCAGTTGTTGTCCATGCTGCATCTGTCCCCGTTGTTTTAAAAACCAAGCAAGGAAGGCAGAATAAGGCATTAGCATGACTGCATCCAGCCAGGCTTCTGGTGTACCAGCTACGAGAGGAGCCTCGCACATACGGCTTCCATTTGCCACTTGCCTGCTGTTTGATAGCAATATCAGGTTGATCTGCTCTTTCACCGGAAGCTTGTCCGCCAAACGTCTTCTCTCAAACATAACAGTCATACAAAACACATTTTTATTTTGTTTTGCTAAAATTCTTCTTTCTGTCTCTTTTCATGCACCACATATACTAAAGCAAATTCCTCGTAAATGTAAACACACCTTGTAAATATGACCGATTCTGAATCTGATAAATATGTGTTTTCTGTTTCCTGCAGACGTCCAGCAGCTGGTGGTGGTTAAAGAAGAGGTTCCCCCTGAGCAGCACGAGTGGAGCTCCAGTCTGGACCAGGAGGACCCAGAGCCCCCCCCACACATTAAAGAGGAACAGGAGGAACTCTGGATCAGTCAGGAGGGAGAGCAGCTTCAAGGGCTGGAGGAGGCTGATATCACCAAGTCCACATTCACTCCTGTCCCTGTGAAGAGTGAAGATGATGAAGAGAAACCTCAGTCCTCTCAGCTTCATCAAAGACAAACTGAACACCTGGAAACAGAAGCTGATGGAGAGGACTGTGGAGGACCAGAACCAGCCAGGAACTCAGATCCAGAGAGACATTTACAACCTGAGACTGAGGACAACCCTGGAGACTCTTCTGAAGACACTGAAGACAGTGCTGATTGGAAGGAGACCAGAGAACCAGGATCAAACTCTCAAGAAAATAAAGAAGACCCTGTCAGTGATTCAAGATGTAGTGCAGGAGAGAAACGATTCAGCTGCTCAGTCTGTGAGAAAACATTTGCACAGAAAGGATCTTTACATCGACACATGAGAAACCACACAGGAAAGAAACCATTCAGCTGCTCAGTCTGTGAGAAATCTTTTAAACAAACAGGACAATTAAATGAACACACGAAAATCCATACAGGAGAGAAACCATTCAGCTGCTCAGTCTGTGAGAGATATTTTACAGTTAGGGGAAGTTTAAAGTGCCACATGAGAATACACACAGGAGAGAAACCATTCAGCTGCTCAGTCTGTAATAAATCTTTTACACAAAGGGGAAGTTTAAAGTACCACATGAGAAACCACACAGGAGAGAAACCATTCAGCTGCTCAGTCTGTGAGAAAACATTTGCACGGAAAGAATCTTTACAACTACACATGAGAAACCACACAGGAGAGAAACCATTTGGCTGCTCAGTCTGTGAGAAATATTTTACACATAGGGGAAGTTTAAAGTGCCACATGAGAATACACACAGGAGAGAAACCATTCAGCTGCTCAGTCTGTAAGAAATCTTTTACACATAGGGGAAGTTTAAAGTACCACATGAGAAACCACACAGGAGAGAAACCATTCAGCTGCTCAGTCTGTGAGAAATATTTTACACAAAAGAGACATTTAAGGACACACAGAAGAATCCACACAGGAGAGAAACCATACAGATGCAGTGTCTGTGACAAAAGATTCACCTGGAGTTGTCAGGTCAAAATCCATAAGTGTGTTGGTCGTCAGTCCTCACAGCTTCATCAAACTCAAACTGAGGAGAACAGAGAGGCAGAGCCTCCAGCCAGCAGCTCAGCTGAACACATGGAAACAGAAGCTGATGGAGAGGACTGTGGAGGACCAGAACCAGCCAGGAACTCAGATCTAGAGAGACATTTACAACCTGAGACTGAGGACAACCCTGGAGACTCTTCTGAACCTGACACTGAAGACAGGGATGGTTGGAAGGAGACCAGAGAACCAGGTTCAAACTCTCAGAGAAATAAACAAGACCCTGTCAGTGATTCAAGACGTAGTGCAGGAGAGAAACGATTCAGCTGCTCAGTCTGTGAGAAATCTTTTAAACAAATAGGACATTTAAAACGGCACATGGCAATACACACAGGAGAGAAACCGTTCAGCTGCTCAGTCTGTGAGAAAACATTTGCACGGAAAGGATCTTTACAACTACACATGAGAAACCACACAGGAGAGAAACCATTCGGCTGCTCAGTCTGTGAGAAATATTTTACACTTAGGGGAAGTTTAAAGTGCCACATGAGAATACACACAGGAGAGAAACCATTCAGCTGCTCAGTCTGTAATACATCTTTTACACATAGGGGAAGTTTAAAGTACCACATGAGAAACCACACAGGACAGAAACCATTCAGCTGCTCAGTCTGTGAGAAATATTTTACACTTAGGGGAAGTTTAAAGTACCACATGAGAAACCACACAGGACAGAAACCGTTCAGCTGCTCAGTCTGTGAGAAAACATTTGCACGGAAAGGATCTTTACAACTACACATGAGAAACCACACAGGAGAGAAACCATTCAGCTGCTCAGTCTGTGAGAAATATTTTACACTTAGGGGAAGTTTAAAGTACCACATGAGAATCCACACAGGAGAGAAACCATTCAGCTGCTCAGTTTGTAAGAAATATTTTACACAAAAGAGACATTTAAGGACACACAGAAGAATCCACACAGGAGAGAAACCATACAGATGCAGTGTCTGTGACAAAAAATTCACCTGGAGTTGTCAGGTCAAAATCCATAAGTGTGTTGGTCGTCAGTCCTCACAGCTTCATCAAACTCAAACTGAGGAGAACACAGAGGCAGAGCCTCCAGCCAGCAGCTCAGCTGAACACCTGGAAACAGAAGCTGATGGAGAGGACTGTGGAGGACCAGAACCAGCCAGGAACTCAGATCCAGAGAGACATTTACAACCAGAGACTGAGGACAACCCTGGAGACTCTTCTGAACCTGACATTTTCCAAGTCAAATCTGCATGTGCAACAAAAAAAGAGGACAATTAATTAGTACCACGACAATTCACATGAGAAAAATCTGTCTGGCTGTATAAACTCTGTTTGCCAATATTCATACATGACTTCATCTAAACTCCATCTTTATCAACAGAAGTTTTGAATACGTTTAATGTTCAGTTTTCAGATTTCAGAGCGCAAGATAGGTTTCGCTTTTGGGCAAACTACGTGCGCATAGCTCTCATAACGTACTGTACGTACGTGGTTTGTCATGTTTGGCTTTCTGTTATTTTGTTCAAGTATGTCTGAAAGTTGTTGCTTCTGTCGGGACCCCCTTGAAAACGAGATGGTGCATCTCAAGGGGTTTATCCTAATAAATACATTTCTATATAAAAGACAAATGCCTTAGAAACAGACTCACATTCCTGCATATTGTTTGTGTTTACAGATTACAATCAGCTCATTTGGAGTTCAGAGTTCAAATGGAATTTTAGGATTATTCCTGCTTTTTGAAACTGTAGTACGGGCTCATGTGTTTCACTTTGAAGCAGAAATAAAATACTTTTTCATATCGAACGCTGAATTGTGACTCGTATTCGTGCTTTTTATACCCGTCTTAATCTATATTAGCCTTTTTAAGTTTCATTCTTTCTGCTCTTTATTATTGAAGGTTTATTTAGATGAGATTAGATTTACTTATATATTTAGTTGCAGCTTCAGAAACAAGTAATAAACAAGGCATTGCACTAAAGTTCAAACTATTATTAAAAAAACTGATATGCATATAAACATCAACAATATACTTACCTCCAGAGTTTCTATGGTAGACACACAATAAGATATTCAGAATAAGTTAGAGTACACTGTAATCAACAAATCACATTGTTAACAAATAAAAGACAGGATAAACAATATGTGCTCAGTAGTTGCAGTTTCTTTTGAAATGAAATAAGGTTGAATGTGATGATCATCAATACAAATTGTTCAGGGTTATTGAAAGTGAAAAACAGGAGTATGGGTAAGAAGAGACTGCAAGGCAAGGCAATTTTATTTATATAGCACTTTTCAGGCGATTCAAAGTGCTTTACAAAAATAAAAACAAAAAACGTTTAAGAACAAATACAGCATAAATACATAATTAAATGGCATTTAAAAACAGGCATAAAAAGCAAAGAGAATTAAATTAAATAAATAAATAAACACAGCAGGTACTGTTAAGGAATAATTCTTCTAGATATCTAACCTTTTGCTCTGTGACGTTTTATGATCTACTCTGACGTCTGTTATCTCCTTTAAGGAAAGGCCTTGGTGCCATATGTGTTGTTGTCACCAGTTTGTGACCGGTCAACTTGTCTGGCACGAAGGGTACTTGTTGTGAGAACACTGAGGCACTTCTTTATCGGTGTTTGTGGACTCTAAGATGTGAAATCCTTGAGGCCATGAGTGTCGGACGCAGGTGGCTCAGTGTTCCCAGCTGTTTAGTCTACTCCTTCAGAGATGTTGATTTCTCTCTGTGAACCCGTTAAAAGGTCAAGCATAGAGAGAGGCTCTTCAGAATTGACGTGGCAACTCTACCGTGGAGTCAGAACCTCTGACTTTTTTACTTGTGATGTGAATCCTCCGGCCGAATACTCTGAATAAACCCATCAGTGTTTGACATCAAAGCTCCAACTCTCACCGTGTCTCCTTCCTGAGTCGGTGACTCCATGCATTACTACACAGAAGTTTCCTCCACAAATTGGCGTTGTCGGCAGGATACCAACAGATCTTCAGAACTGGTAAGTGTGATTTCAAATCTACATTTGGACATTGCCTTACCAGAATCTGTGATTGACGGTATCCTAAAATTATCTGTGAAGCTAAGCGGCTGCGTTTCGTTTTGGTTAATGAACATTTGGGGCTAGTAACCCCAGGGGATCATCCAGGGACTCTGTCTTGGCTGGTTCCCTCTGTGTGTGCTGCTCGGACGTATGTGCCGTGCAGGCATACACGGAGATGTTTAAAAAAAACCTTAATGAGGGCAGCAGTAAAGTGGAACTTCTGTGTGAAATCAAAATAGAGGTTTGTAATGAACAAATCACAGCTTTTGTCTATAGCTTTACCTCACACCACCGCCGTCTCTAGTAAAAACGAGACGGTTTAAAAGCACTCTCGTGGCTTGTGGCCGTTTACGATGTGCTGGCAAGTGCGAGGTGCGTGCATTACCTGATGCGCCACAGCTCCCTACATTGCTGGAGGAGCTGGTGCCGGTCCGGGGTGCATACATAAAATGATAGGCTAATTGATCATGGGTGGGCAGTGGTATGCAAGTGTAGAACAAAACTGTGTTTCATCGTTGTGATGAACATGATGGCGTGTGTATAGGCTGGTCGAGTAGGACTACAGTTAACTGTGTAGTTTCGGATAGAAAGGGTAGAGGAGAAAAAAGTCTATGTGCTCCAGATCGGGGGGGCATAGCACCACTAGAGCAGGGATAGTGGGGTCGCAAGAGGATAAGCTAGTTATTGCTCTTGGACGGTCTTCAGGCACCGATCTAGGACTTGTATACAAGGGTGGGAGCGCGAGTCAAGGTGCCCCACTGGGTTCCCCATTGGGGAGAGATCATATCCCTCCCCCCTCTGAAACCTCTTTAATCCGGACTAAATTGAGCTGGATGAGCTGTTGCTGACGCACTGGTGTTTATTACGAGTTCATGTTTGTTTGTCTGATTGTTTGTATCGGGGGTCTATATTGGTTTGTCTAACCGCCGTCTTGTGTATGTTTTGTAACAACTAATAATGAATCAGTCCATAGCCAGGGTAAAATAAACTAAGCTTTAGTTAACTCACCAAAAGTAAATGACTTGAGAAAAATAAATAATATATAGTGTTTTGCAAAATTCTGGTAGTATAGATGTGCTGCAAAATGAAAATAAATAGCAAAAGAGTGTTTTTATGTCCTGCATCTGAGTGTGCAGAGGAACATGTAAACAAGAAGCACACTGTTCAGGGTGTGCGCTGTAGGTGTAAGAAGAAAATAAGATTATATTATTTTAAGAATACATTTTAAATTGTATTGCTGTTATGTTAAGATATATTTGTGACCTTTTATAAACCCTATGCCCCGTCCTGCACCCTGAGACCCTCAGAGGCATCACTGCTGGTCGTAAAGACCTGCCTGAGGAGGTCAGGGTGGCAAAATCTGTCTGCTGTTTTAGGTCAATGTTGTATTATTTGTTTCATTTATTCTTAAATCTATGTATTGTATGGTAATAATGAAAAAAAACGTAATGTATTGAACACATTCCGAAACAAAGCTGATAAGACAGAACTTGACTCAGACATAATACAAATTATTGTTGAAACATTTTGCGCTGTTGCTGCAAAATGGAAACTTTGTTGATTATCTGTTCCAACTGGCCACTGGATTCAGATAATTAATATAAGTTGAAGTTTAATTACAGTTTTAAATATAGTTTAACATTCTTTATTAAACTGCTTCAAATTATTTCTCGTATCAACCAATTGGTATCCATAGACATTACTACAATTCTAATAGTTGTTAAACTACTGACAAGTTTTCTGAAACCGAGCTTATGAACAAAAGAGTAAAGGTCGCTGGTTAAGCCAGGATCAATATATTTGTTGACGTTTTCATTACAGTGTGCATAATAAATGTGTTAAATGAATTGAGCAATTCTTTAAAAAGTATAATATTGCAATCTCTTTACAATAAGTCATTACAGTTAACAAAGAAGTAGATGTTGTTTTCCAAGGGCCTCTCCTTCACAGGCCTACACTTTAAATCATGAGACTTTCAAATCATAACAGACAGAGATCGGTATCACTTTGTGTTGCAAGCCAAATCCATGTAAAGGTTCTACTTGAGCCCAATTTAAATACCATAAAGAAAGTATTGAACCCAGCTCAAGCTAAATGTCAAATGTATTTAATTAATGTGCAAATGTTTTGATTTATTTAAAATGTTCCAGTCTAGCTTCTTTTGAGTTCAGTCTAAGCAACAAATTGTTTCTCATAACATTCTCACTGCTGTCCCAAATGTTTTAACCTTGGGCAGACAAGCTGTTCACACACACACACACACACACACACACACACACACACACACACACACACACACACACACACACACACACACACACACACACACACACACACACACACACACACACACACACACACACACACACACACACACACACACACACACACACACACACTTTGGATAAGTATTCACCTTATCCACATTGTAAATTGTTGCCTTCTTTAAAGTTATTAGTAATTTAAGTAATTAATTATTAAATTAAATGTGGTACATAAGATAAAATAAATGAAATAACTTTGACTTGATCATTTTGTTCACAACATTAGACCTGTCCTCTAATCTCTACTAGAATAAGATAAGTGTGCATGTTTGGATGTTTTATCACTCCTGTAATGTACCTAATCTTGATATCCTTTTCATTACAGAGCTGGGAAAATGATGTATTGATTAGATTCTGATCCGTGCACGTCCAATTTTGACTGACTTTAGTTCTAATGTTAATGTTAATTTGACTTCAACCCATAAGTAATTATTTAAATTAACTCTAAATGTCACATGATGATGGATTAGTGTTCCACATTTCTTCCACTAATTTGTTTTACAATCAGGCCAAAGGTAAAGAGAGACATTGATGACCTTGTGTCCCTTTTGTTAGTACGTGGTTCCATTTTGTCTATGGCCTTGGACGGCTTCACTAAAAGTCACCCAGTTCTGCCCTGCTGCAGTCCGGCTGAGTGCACTCACAGAGATGCTATGGCTGCTCTACATGACATTAATGGTCTGGTCTGAATGGACACCATTTCCTGCTCCCAGAGAGAATGACACTCCTCAAACTGAACATTACAGCCATTGATACTGTCGCACAGACAGACAGTCGTGCATCCATATGCTCGTTACTTTAAAACGTTTTGATGTGATTTAGGTGCCTTTTCTATACAGTAGTATTTGCCACGACGTTGTCTTTAGACTTTCTCGACGATGTTCGTCGCATGAATAAGCGGCAGCATTAGGGCAATATCTGTGAATTACTCTCACACCCTACACACTACTGAAACCACAATCAGGTCATCTACGATCTGCGGAGGCCTGCTCCCACCTGTAGAGTTCGGGCTGGGGCCTGCTTCCACCGGGCGTGTGCTGCTGTGCGGAGGAGGATTTGCCGCGGCTGGGGCCTGCTCTCCACCTGTCCTGGTTCTGCTGTTGCGGAGGCCTGCTCCCACCTGTCGTGTGTTCCAGTGTCGTGTGCTGCTTTGCTGAGGAGACCTTTTACCCCGGGGATACCACGGAGAGACCGGAGCGCTTCCTCGCTGCTGCTTTCGCCTGTCCTTTGCTGCTGTGAGGAGGAGGATTTTTGCCCCAGGAACATCGCGGATACTGTGTGCTGGTCTGGGAAAATGGCCCATATCGTGATTCTGCTGTGCCTGTTAACTGTTCTGGACTATGAGAAGATCTCTAGTCATCCTGAGAAG